GGAACATTATCACTCATAGATCACAGAGAAAACAAAAATCCCCAGCACTGGTTTCTGCTAGGTCAAAGGACTAATTTAAGGAGTGGCCCTCAACTCTAATTTAGTCTTCATCAACCAGGATTCCATGGAACCCTAGGGCTCTTTCAAAGGCTGCTAGGAGTTCCTTAGGCAATAGGCAATTTCTGACTCTCAGGTAAGTAACCACTGACACCAATTTTTAGCTAAGGGGGGCAATACAACTGACCAATATTGTATTGAACATTCTTCTCACTGACCACCAATTTAAGGAGCATTCTTCCTGTTGGTCACATTTGCAATAGGTGCCTTTTCCCACTCACTACTAATTTAAGGTGGCCCTTATCTCATCAACCACCAGTGTAAGGGGGCACTTCACTGACCTCCCATGTAAGGGGATACTTTTCACTGACCACTACAATTTTCACAGTCCAGTATCTTTTACTACTATTATTAAAGATTTCAAAATTTTCGAAAGTACCATCTTTCAGCCGACATTGAGGTGCTTTTAGATTGTAAGCCCTCAGGGGCAGGGCCCTCCTTCCCATCTTGTCTTGTATTGTATTGTGATTGTAATGTCTTCCTTATATTGTAAAGCGATGCGCAAACTGTTGGCGCTATATAAATCCTGTATAAGAATAATAATAATAATCCCGATTTCTCTCCTGCCCCGTGTCCCCTCTGACACAGAGCAGCGTCCAGCGGAGAGAAATGTTCAGGAGGCCGGGGAGGAGAGCGCCGTGAGTCTGCTGTAGGAGGCGTAGCTCTCCTCCCATGACAGATCAGGATGGAGAGCAGTGCGGGGAGGAGACAGCTGTCAGCCATTTTCCCCACACCGCCAGTTCAGCCTTCTGTAACAGCGAGTCAGGATGGAGAGCAGAATACAAGCACTTAACGACTAGGTGATGGTTGAGTGTTTGTAAATAATTGAGGACATAAATTGTTCATAAATTAGAGGATATAGTATGTTTACTGTGGGGTCTATTCACTAAGCTGTCGTAGGCAGCCGAGTGAATGACCGACCTAAAGCGAAGTGAGCCGAATGATGTTTGGCTATTCACTTCAGGCTGGTACGGCTGAAATCAGCCGTACATCGGGTGGCTTCGGGTCAGCCGAACATGCGCAGCATGTTCGGCCGACCCGAAGTGCAGGAGTTCGACTCAGCCGATCCAAAATCTGGATAGGCAAAGCCGAACCTCCGGCAGGCTACTCGCTGCTGTTCGGTCTATTCTTATAGATGCCGAACAGCATCTATAAGTGAGTGAATAGCCAAATGCCGCTAAGCAGCATTCGGCTCGGCTATTCCCTCTGTGGGACCGAGCAGAACAGAAAAATTGTAAAACAGTAGTAAAAAATAAATAGAAAACGATTGTGCGGAGCTAGCAGTGACAGCTAGCTCCGTCCAACTGTTTTCTATTGTCCGGCGATTCTGCTGCTATGTGACAGCAATTGGCTGCTCAGGCACCTATTACGGGAGGGAGACTGAGAGTCACATGCTTCCCATACCTGGATGTACTGCATATTTTGTCTCATCTCCTCAGGTAGCTGAACTATGCAGTGGAGGGGAAAATGGAAGGTAAGCGTATGCAGGTGGTGTAAAGGAATTGGGGTGGAGTTGCCCTGTTCACTATAAAGGGTACCAGATAAGATCATATTATTACCTTCCCTCTTGAGAGAAATGGTTCCGACTACCACTCACATCGCACCTATTATATTCCAAGTTTTATTCTGTCTGCAGGGCTGCAGATAACGATTATTTTCATAATCGATTAGTTAGCCGATTATTAACTTTGATTAATCGATTAATTGGATTTAAAAAATAGTAATTTTAAATAAAATACGCAGCGATACCTGACATGTGTAGCGCAATCGTTGTTTTTCTATGTAGGTGCAACCGACTTGTTTCTGTTAGTATGTACATTGGAGGTGACAGGTTCTCTTTAAGGTGACATTAGGTGTCTTTTAGACCCCTAGTGTCACCTTTCCACTTCACTGGATTCAGCTGCTGAGGCAGCTGAATGTAAATACAGCAGGCAGTGGCTGGAAGCAATAGCCAGCCTGCTATTGGATATTTTAAATTGCAATAGCCAATAGCAGGCTGGCTGTTGCACCCACCCACTGCCTACTGTCAATCAGCAGAGGAGGGAACAGAAGGAGAAAGTTCTCCATCAGGTCCTCCTCTACTGATTGACAGCAGGCAGTGGGCGGGTGCAATAGGAAGCCTGCTATTGGCTATTGCAATTTAAAATATCTAATAGCAGGCTGGCTATTGTTACAAGTGTCCGCTCCTTTTCCACTTGATTAAACTGTTTGCTTTTGGGTATATATCTCAAAGTGTCAGCTCCTTATTTGTTTAATATTGCACTCACCAGTCGTACCCAGAAGTTTTCGCTCTCAATCAAAGAAGGGAAGGTCCATTCTGTGTGCTCACGGGGGAGGAGAGAAGAGAAGCTGTAAATCTTGACTACACACAGAATGGAGCTTCCCTTCTTTGATTAAGAGCGAAAACTTCTGGGTACGTCTGGTGAGTGCAATATTAAACAAATAAGGAGCACGGACAGCTGACACTTTGAGACATATAACCAAAAGGAAACAGTTTAATCAAGTGGAAAAAGGAACGGACACTAACACTGAACTGTCTTGACGGAGGAGCTGCAGCAGAGGAGGAACAAGGGGAGGGGGGGTCAGCGGGGGATTTCAGAGTCACCGGCCGCAGTCTCTTCTCCCCTCTCGTGCCAGCTACAGCGGTCTGTGAAAGGGACACAGACTGCTGCAGCCAGCACCAGTAGGGAGAAGAGACTGCGGCCTGCTGATTCTGAAATCCTCCGCTGCTTCCCCCTCGTACCTCCGCTGCCAGCAACTAATCGAAAATCAACTAATCAGTGATGGGAATAGTTGCCAACTATTCTCATCATTGATTTTAATCGATTTAATCGATTAGTTGTTGCAGCTCTATCTGTCTGTGTTATTGAATATTAACTTGTACTGCAGGAACTTGCAGGAAAGAACATTCCATATCACAGTATAAACACATGCAAACATGCATCTGTAGGGTGGGAAATATTTCTGTGCAGTTCACAGAAGCCTATCACAATTCTTTATTTTTTAACCTGCATATGATAGATGGAATCTGAATGTTAAAAGCAATATAATGTCTGAATAAACTACCGAATTGAGCAGTGGCAGACATTTTGCTTGCAGACCACGAAACACTCCATGAATTCACATTGGGCCAGTATCATCACAGAGATATTATATGAACAAAACAGTTCCAGCCTCAGCTGCATCAACTAGCCCTAGCATTCAGAAAGCTGCTAAATCATGAATATTGTCTCAGACTACAATATGGAAGCCTGGATTGTACCCTGTCCAAAAAATCTTTAGTAATGTCCTTATCAACAGTTCTGGTACAGCAGAATTAAATACAGCACCAATAAAACCAAGCTACGTTTATACTGGGTGACCTAGCTTTTTGCTTTTCTCCTCCTTAAAGGGTAAGACCATCCAAAACTGATATTTCAATTGTAGGTAGATTCCAGTGGGATAAACCACTATCTTTTTTATACCTCACTGGAAACCTGGTGATGAGACCTCTGCACCAGCCCTCCAGGCCGTGTCCACCTGTTGTAGGTATTGCAAAGAGATTGCTTTTTGTTGACTTTTTTACATTTTATTTTACATTACAGACATTACAATGGCAGCAATTAAACTAGGTGGTGTAGTGTTTATAACTATTGTTTTTGAAATTTTATGATAAAGAAAGCCATTGGGCTAAGTTTTTATGAAATTGTTTGTCCTATAACTTCTTTGACCATCTTCTTCTTTAAAAAGGTGGTATTTTCTTAATAGTTTAGGGATCATATCTCCCTCTCCCACGGAGATTGAGCTCTGTAAGACAACCCTGGGCTAGCTACCCTCTTTTTTTCCTTAAAAGAGAACTATGAGGTGAGTGCTTTTCACTCACCTCATAGTTCTACCCGACCTGTGACAATGAGACTGTCACAGGTCGGCTCAGTCGAGGTGGAGGGGAAGGGACGGGTACAGCTGGCTCTGCCTCTAGATAGGCAGAGCCAGCTGTCAGTCACGCAGCTGGGCGGATCCCGGCATAATTGTCAGGATCCGCTTCAGCTGCGTCGTCTCAGTATACCGCGAGCTACAGCTCGCGGTATACTGAGCCTAGGATGACGGGAGGATGCTAGTTTGTGTCCTCCCGTTACCCTAAGGAGAACTATGGGGAAAAGCCTTAACCCCATAGTTCTCCTTTAATATTCAAAAACGTGAGGAGAGCTCAGCCTCCTGTGACAGCGCGGCCTGTCTCCGCCCAGGAGCCGCTCACATCGCTCTCCTCCCACAGCGCTCGGCCGGCTATCACAGTTTCTCTCCTCCCCGCTGGGACACCCAGCGGGGAGGATAGAAAACAGGGATGCGCCGATGTATCGGCAGGAAAATGGCACTAGACATCCCTAGTATATACATTTTTTTTTTTTTTAATGCTGATGATTTCTACCACTTTAAATACTTCTAACCTTAAACCAGCAAACTAACTTCTATAAAGCCAAGCTTTAAAAAAGTAAAGATACTGTATGTGGGGGAAAAAGTATCTTAATAGGTAGCATAAACTGCAAATCTGCAAAAATTTGCAATGTTATGACTTTTTACCTTTAAAAATGTCCCTGGCTCATATTTTAAAATTTCTCCAGTTTGGGTGATCCAACATAGCTGCAAAGGTAATTTTAACAAATTACTAGTACACATAATTGTTGCTAGCAAGTAATGATACCTCCAGGAAGTGGAGCTAGAGATAGGAACTCTGGTACAGAGATCTCAACATTTAAGCTCCTGAGAGAAATGGCAGCATACGACTCACGCAACCAGCATCCCACAAATGAACAGTCAGATTTGGATGGACTTTGTCTTTAATCTCTAATACTCACTAAATTACTGACTCCTGCCTATTTAATAGTATTGCTATGTACTTTAGTTACCTTTCTCTGTTTGGGGAGTGGTGGTTATCTAATACACGATGCCTTTCCCCTCTGCCCATGAAATTGTACTGTGCAGGGCCAGATCTTGTCCCTCTTGGTCCCTGTTCCATACTCCTACTGAAAGAAAGGGAAGTTTGTCAGTTTCATAAGAACAATTGCTATACAGCTTGTTCTATTATACTCTTAAAAGTATGCAAGGCATCAAGCAATTAGTAGAAGACTACGTCGGTCCTGGAGGGCAATCAGAGACAGTAGAAGAACAGCATCAGTTAAACGTTGAGATTAGCAAAGGGTTGTGGGAAAGAAGATTATGGTAATCAGCCATGATGGTACGGCTTAATCCTCCTGCCAGATGTACCTGTAAAACTTTATACAACTGATAGTCAACAAGGAACAGTGATATCAGTCAAAGTGCTATATATGTGCTATGTACAGTGGCCATAGAAAACATAAATTACTATTTCTAGAATGTCTAGAACATAGAATGATCTAAACTGTAGGGGCCCATTCCAAAAAGGCCATATGTCTCATCTAAAACAATTCATAACAATGGTCACGTTTGCAATATCCAAAATCGTGGGATCACTATGTTGACCACAACATGAATTCGGATGATAAACCCTATACTACCCAATTATCTCAAGCAATGTTCAAAAGAGTTTAATTGTAGGAGAATACCAGTCTGTAAACAAGAAACTTTATTCACAGCATAGCCAACATTTAGAATAATGCACATGTAAATACCGCTGTCCCTTTCATTTAGACGCAATTTGTCCACACCAAGGCCACATGATTAGAACAGAGTCATGTATTGGAGGTGATGACAGAGCCAATGGCTGTAAATTATCCAACATATACAGACAGTACAGAATTCCTACTTAAAGACTCCTTTTCACTCAGTTAGGTGTCTAGAGCAGTCCAAACAATGCAAAATATGAATGTGCAATTGGAAGTTTTTTCAAGTCAACCAACAAGCTGCAGGCTTTGCATATATATTTTATATTCACCAGCATCAATTACAATCACTCAAGTACAACTAAACAAATGGAACCTTCCTCTATGGCTTTGTAATTGATTCAAATATGCTATCAACATTCAATTAGTAGACAAAAAACTTTCCTATGCAACAAAAACTACTATACTACTGCAATAGGGAACACTGAAACAGCCAAGAGTGATCACTAGAATTATATTACCAGTTATTTATGCTTGCTCTGCAAATTATCATGGCAATTACAAAGTGGTCTTAGGGTCCAGCCCAAAATATTTTTTTCTCTGTTTTTTAGCTTTGGATAGCCTGGGGAAGGATTAGAGTCCCTGTTGGGTTGTTACTCCTATCTGGGGCCCCATTAGAGCAATTTCCTCTTACTTACTGTCCTGGTGACAATGGACCAGACAGGAAGACGGGGAAAACCTGCAACAGCAATGGGGACAGTAATAAAGCGCGGGCAGAGGTTCTAACCTTCCCCTACTATACTGTTTTATTTCTGTATGTGCTGCTCTTAGAGATTTACCCTCACTTTCTGTCAGGTGAAACCATTGTCAACAGGACAATGATGGGAAGTCCAGAGCCCAGGATAGCAGTAGAAATTTAAGAGAGGTTCTAATCTTCCCACTCTATCCAAAATAAAAAAAAAGTTTAGGCTGTACATACACTTTGACTTCACAGCTAGCATTTTTTTTATACTGCAGAGCAATGGAGTGAGACAAATGCTGTTGCAGTACTAAATGTTAAGTATGGACTGACTCGGAAAGTCAGTTTCTTTTTTGTTTTTGGTGCTAATCTACATTATGTCCCATTCTGGGTGAATAAATATAAAGTAAATCAATATAAACCACTGCAACAACACCATTTAAAATATAGTTCAACCTTGTTGACAAATGTGATATCATAAGGCAAGACTGTAAAATGATAAACTCAACAAGCAGCATTTATTATTGATATTGGCATCAATTCAGTCCACTGACACAATTACAGACATTAGAACTATCTTCAAAATTGACTATGTTCCTGTCTTGTCTTTCCATGTAAAATATAAAACAAGTAGTTGGGCTTCTTCCTAAGTGTTACATTAGAGAGACTAAAGCACCTGTGATGACCTCCCAATACTCACAATTCATCCCATACGTCAGGAATATCATATCATGCAAAAGAGAGACATGTTATTTACAATAACAAAACATAATTCACAATAGCAGCCTGTATTTATTTTAGTGCACCTGTGGTTTTGTGGTATACATTATGCTGCAAATAAAGAGTGGTGACACTGTTTTTGTTTCCAGTTATGAAGGTTTTGGTGAGTTTTAAAAACATGATGTTTTTCCTCCCACGTGCACCATTAACATGAATCTAAAGTGATATAACTATTACTAGATCTCCCACTCCAGGTGCATGCAAACTGGTTTAGGTATCCTATTGAAAGGCCCAGGAAACCTGAACTATTGGGTATCATTTTATGTAAATGTTTAGCACTTCTGTGCTTGAGAACCTTGATAGATGATCTCCTGTACTGCTGTACTGGCCCATCTCTGTGAAATTGCTCTAATGGGGCCCCAGATAGGAGTAACAACCGCAACAATGCCATAAGGAAGGATGGAAGGGGTGGTGCCAGGATGTCAACCAGGAAAGCTGCTCAAATTTTGGAAACACCGTCTGCACATATATCTGTCTATATATCAGGGAGGGACACTAAAGGAGGAAAGATGGACAGAACGATCTGGATCTACAAGAAGGTTTACTGGCAGCTCCAACAGTTCCAACAACAGAAACCAGAAGGACTTAAAATGTTATTTGATTTTGGAATGCAGGTAGCACATGCTACAGAGAAAAATCTAGAGGGAGAAAGTTCTGGTAATAACATGTAAGAAGTTGGACATCTACATCTCTGCACCATATCAAGTTTGTTCCTGGAATAGTTATGATGCCTAGGACTAGGGTGGGCTCTTCCTATGACACATCCAAATACTATAAAACCTTAATCACTAAACAAACCAAGTGCAGTGTCTACCCACTCCTTTACAGCATTATGTCTACTTCTAAATTACAGGTGCTCTTTAAAAAATGAGCTATGTAATAAATAGTACATAGTACCGGTATCATTTTCTGCATTTAAAAACCGAACAGTAAAAGCCCAGCAGCAGAAACATCTTGCAGCAATGAGATGACAAGGTTGTAATGGAAGTGCTAATGGTAAAAGAGCAATATACCCAAAAGACAATTCTCACAGATAGAACTAAGATATCAATGCTCACTCACACATAGGAAAGCCTTTTGCTTCGATGCAAAATATTAAAATAAAAGAACTGTATCAGCCACAAAACATTCTGTACCTTTGAGGAGGTGGAACACTTGGAGACCAGGATCTCGTCCTTCCTATACTATCTACATGTAGGGGTCCTGTCCGGGAACAGTGATTGGATGACATGACTTGCTCTGGAACAGATAATGTTGAACTCTGCATGTCACGTCCATTTTGCCGGTAATCTGAACAATGAGAGAAAATGATCAGAATAGGTGAAAAAAGAAAAAAGAAAAAAAAAATTAAGAAACCACCACTTGTCTTGTGTCCTACAGATCTGTGTGAATTGAAATGATAGGTGCATTTTAAAGTGGACCTGAACTCAAAGTGAAGATCTACTATCTTATAGGCAACATTTTTAAATGTTAGTTGTGCCTAAGTAGTACTCTTAAAAATGCACCTTTTCCCCTTAAATTTTTTCTGTCAATAAAGGTGGCCTTCCTGGTATATAAAGGGTGCTAGAATCTCCTGTTCTGTAATCTCATAGCTATATATATATATTAGGGCTGGGGAAATTAACGATTAATTCCTCGATTAATCGTTACACTTTTTGATCGATTAAAACTCTTTTGATCGAAAATGAAAAGACTCACCTCTCCGTCGGCTTCCGGGAGTCCCGTCGGAGATCCGGTGACGTCACAGACATTGACGTCACCGGACTCCTCCCCCTTCCCCAAGTGGCTCCGTAGGCTAATGAAGGGAAGGGGAGGAGTCTGGTGACGTTGATGTCCGTGACGTCACCGGACTCCTCCCCCCTTCCCTTCGTTAGCCAACGGAGCCACTTGGGCCGGTGAGTTTGCCCAAGAAGCTTCTGTCTTATCTTAAACTTATATATATGCACTATGTGGCTCTCCATTAACCCCCCCCATCTAGCTCCCAGAAATGTGCCCATTGAAATTTACTGATATTATGTTGCAATCAGGTCCTTACATGAAATGGAATGGACAGGTGCTGCTACTTCAAATATTAAGCTAATACTTATGTTTAAATCACCCTTAGGGCTTTGCTGTTTTACTATACTATGTAAATACATTTGTAATCCAGCACGTTATTATTCTGAGTTGCCCCACTCAAGCGGCGGCCATATTGAGTGGGGCACGTGAAATTAATAACGTGCTGGATTAGTGTTATCCTAGTTCATTTTATTACTTCATTGCTGTGCTGTATGTGTATAGGCCAATGTAGTTGGATCTGTATGTGCGTTATAATTAATCGAAATTAATCGATTAAATTTTTTTCCGATTAATCGAACACGAAAATTTTTATCATTATCAGCCCCAATATATATGTAATGTTACATTAAGGCACTGCTGTCTCTGACTGCTAGTCTCATAAGATTTGGACTGACGTGTTGTGATGTCACCACTGTGCTGCTCATTGTCCTACTTGCTGGAGGCTCTGAGATGAGGAAACAAAACCATGTCCCTACCAAGATGGCCACTTCCACACAGATATATATTCTAACGTAGGTGCAAAACAAAATGTCCAAGAATCAAATTTTATAATAATTTTATATAATAATGCTATTGGTTTACAACAAGGTAACATAAAACTTCCAACATGTTTTGGGAGCCCAACAAACTCCCCTTTCTTCAGGGCTACAAAACATACAATAACATATGGGTACATAAGTATAGAGGAATAAAGTTCTATTTTGGTCCAATCAATATTAAAAATTATCAAAATGTATTTAACGTCTGTTTTGTAGCCCAAAAGAAGGAGAGGGTTGTTGGGCCTCTCAAATGAGTTGGCTGTTTTACTGTATGTTGCCCTGTTGTGAACCAATATCATTATCAAAAGATTTTGGGCTCTTAGACCTTTTGTTCAGCACTCACATTAGACTGTAAATACATGGATTATCAATTCTAGGTCCCCTTTCTAAAGCTGGCCATACACTGGTAGATTTTGTACGAATGTTCATGTGAAAAATCTAGTCAATACATTTGATAATGCCATCAGATATGTCAGTCAAAATTTTGTTTGATTTTAACATAAAATTTTGGAATGAATGGAGTTTCTTGAACAAAAATCACATTCACTGTTAGAATTATGTTTGTTTGAGAAACATGTTTCATCCTGCTCCTAGTTAAAGGAGAACTATGGGGTTAGGGCTTTTCCCCATAGTTCTCCTTAGGGTAACGGGAGGACACAAACTAGCGTCCTCCCGTCACCCTAAGCTCAGTATACAGCTCGCGGTATACTGAGACGCCGCAGCTGAAGCGGATCCTGACAATTATGTCTGGATCCGCCCAGCTCCGTGAGTGACAGCTGGCTCTGCCTATCTAGAGGCAGAGCCAGCTGTACCCGCCCCCTCCCCCGTCCGTTCCGCCAGTCAGCGCTGGAGGATCGGAGCGGGGAGGGGGGAATCCAGTCCCTCCCCTGTCATGGCAGAGAGCCATGACAGAATCGAGAGGTGAGCGAACGCCGGTATGGGTTCGCTCACTTCCCGATCTACTGAGCCGACCTGTGACAGTCTCATTGTCACAGGTCGGCTAGAACTATGAGGTGAGTGAAAAGCACTCACCTCATAGTTCTCCTTTAATGGGGTCGATTCACTGATTCTACCCCATTAATTAGAAAACCAAATGAACGTTTCAAAAACACATTTTCTTTGAATAAAATTCTTCTGGTGTATGGGCAGCTTTAGGGATGTCCTGTTTTGTGGAGAGCACCCTCACCGGAGCCACTATGCCTTGTTATAATCTGACTGATTTCCCAAGAAATTTGTATCCAGCACCTCGCCTTTATTTTGTGTGGATTATCCACAGAGATACAATGCAGAACAAAGCATGGTATGTCAGTAATGGGAAACAGATCAACTAAAGAGAGATAACAGGCAATCATGGTGACTAGTCCTTAGGCCCTTTGCTTGCCTCTTTCTCGGCACAGCTTCCAGTGTTAAGTTTCTTTTTAAGGTAAACAATAATAATGGCTTTTGGTTAACTTTATTCTAAAGTGATAAAGTGAACCTTTCTTTTGCCCCTGCATGGCAAAGAAAAAGGTTCACTTAGCTCCTTCCCCACCCCAGTAGAATATACTGACCTCTTCTCACTGACTTTTCCTCATGGAAAGAAAATTTAATGTAAGCTCCAAACTGACAGAGCTTACACAGAGCTTCCCTTTTAGATTGTAAGCCCTCACGGGCAGGGCCCTCCTAACCATCTTGTCTTGAATTGTATTGTAATGCGCAAACTGTTGGCACTATATAAATCCTGTATAATAATAATAATTATAATATACAGGGATATGGAGCCCTCCCTGGGCTTCATGTGGCAATGTCTGGCCAATCATGAGCTACCATCATAGAAAGAGGGAGAGTGAGTCATATGCTTACCTATACCCAAAATTGCCAGATATTTTAATTTGCTCATGAGGGCTGAACGGAAAGGTGAGTATATGCTGCTAGGGAGGGATGGGGGGGATGGGGGTGCTGAACTTTAAAAACAAATAACTCAGGAAGGGTCTGCAGCAATGAATTCAAAATAAGCACCCAAAAAGAATGACTGTTTCCAGACTACAATGGACCTTCCTACTGTTAATACAAAACAACATCCTTAACTTCATAAACCAAAAAAGTCAACAGAATATGCACATGCCATGTCCCTCTAATAGACTGTTTTATTATACAAATCATTGCTAAAAGCACCAGGTACATAAAAACCCATTGTGAACTTTAACCCACTAACAAACCCCAAATAAGGTGGGACAGCTCTCTTGGATCAAGAATTTAGTAATAATGTAATCAGTATATACTTCACCCACGTCCATCAAGTGCAATTCAAAACACTGCTCACATGGAAGATGTGCACTATTCTAACATGAAAGTTACACAGATCATTGACACAATGCAATATTCACAGTAAAATCTTCCAATTAACACTTCGATAATCCAATTATCACGAAAGTGAAACTCTTTTTCAGACTCTTCAAAAAAAGTTGACTAGTTAGGTCAAAATTGTTTTCATATTTACGTGATTAAAATAAATGTAGATGTTCCAAATGTGAAATGGTACTGAAAATCCTATAACATATATTAAAACCACCATGCCTTTAGGTGAACCATTCAATAATGTTTGGTGGTTCTTACCTGAAATAACCCCAACGCCATCATCGCAGTCATAGTCAGACACTTCACTGTCACTTATTCTCTTGGATCCTGCAAAGAATTCACAGTGAAAACATGGCTCTTGAAATTTCATTTCCTTTGATACCAGGTAAACAAAGGTTGTTAATAAAGAAAAGCAATTCAACACTAAGAACTACAGCTGGAGGAGTATACTGTGGAGAGGGGATGGCCTGATAAGATTAGTAAGGTAGCAGTCCACACCTGTTACTGGAAATGGGGAAAACAACCAAGCAGAGACATAACTCACAGCAAATTTGAATCACGCTGTATGTACAATAATGGGTAATATTTTAAGAGAAGTAACACATAAGGATTATTAACTGCACGCACTCATACGAGTCATTGGAATAATAAAGCACTTTCATTTTAATGTTATTACTACTATATATCACTTTCAACTGGCATTGCTTGATGAAACATGGCAACCATACAAACAGGCTTATTTTACAATGCAGTGCACTGATGCTGTGCTTAGTAACTTGTAGCAACCAATCAGAATGTATCTTTCTTACTGCTTTAAAGGGTCAGTCCACATAAAAAAAAATGATTTCCTGAGCCAACTGCTCGCTTCTTGTACCTTTTGTGCTGTGGTGTTCTAGCACATCTTACAGCTTTGGTGTAAGGGTGTAAGGTGTGCGAGAACACAACATTCAGAACCACACGGAGAGTAGTAGGCCTTTGTAATGGCCTTCGCTGGTCTGCAGACCACATACAGAGATCTCATCACTAGAGGCCAAATCTTTAATAAGGCCACTAGCCCAGAACAAGCATGCAAGCAGACAGTTCTGACTTTTCTGATCAGTATGCTTGTTTCGGCTTAATGACCCAAGATGATTTAGGAAAGGTTTGCATTAACTCACCAGCATCTAGCATACACTGAAATATGACATTTGGGTGGACAAACCTTTTACATGTATGATTGTCATGGATGACAGCGCTATTCACAAAATAACTGCTCACTTTAAAAAATTCTGTAACAAAATGTATTGATCTTACAATTAAACATATTTTTATTAAAAGATAACTCCAACGTGGAGTGACAATCCAATCAGTGGTGGAGTCCTGCATATTAATGAACAAGTCATAGCATTACCTGCTTACTATATAAGGGTCATGAGATGTAATGCAACCTCTAAAATGATTGCAGCCCAAGTAGTGACCCCTGTTGCTAGCAAATGAGGAAGGTCTACAGCAACTTTCTTACTGGACATGAAAAGACTTTCAGGTGATATAAAGTGCTGCAGAGGATTCTGGTATACAGTGATGTCACTGACCTGGACCTGAGAAACCCCACCTAATGCTGGTCCTGATACCCACAAGTGTGCATTTTATGTCCTGGTGCTTATGAGTGCTGACACTAACCTGTGGCTGCTACAACATGAGTGACTGGCCAATCTGTCTTTAAGGTATCTAAAACTTTGGCCCCAATGCCTGACTGACGAACCTGGACTAAACATGTGACTTAATATCTGACTATGCCTTGTCTTACTCTACCAGTACTGTATCCATCTAACTGGTGTTGACCCCTGAATAGTCCCAAACTATGCATGACCCACTATAACAGCATTTTCTCTATTGTTACTGACCTTGGTCTGTTTGGACTATCCTCCCCTTGCCCCTATATGTGGACCACTGTATTGTTTCGACTGGATAATCTGGTGCATAAGAAGCTGGGAGCACCTGAAAACGGATCCAGCACATAAAGCATAAAGCTACCCCAGAAGGTGGCTGAAAAAGGTAAGTCGCAAAGCAGCAGCATTCCGTGAGTCTGATCAGTGACTAAGTTGCGGCTATGTCTCAGCACTTCTAACAATATCCACCAACTATAGAAGTCATGTTGCCTTCTCCATTACTTGCTACAGTTTTGTGACTAAAGTACAAATTCTTGGGGCTGATTAAAAAGGCCTAGATTATTTGCTTCTCTACTGTTTACATTGGATATTGACAACAACTAACATTACTAAATTGGGTATACGGCTAGGACAAAATGTTGCTGGGCTTAGCATAATAGTCAGGTAAAGTCCAGGGCACCAGTCCAGGATATCTATCCGTCAAACAATTATATTGCGCACCATGGTTCTGCTAAGGATAGAATACAACTTTGCGTAAAATATATAGAGTAAGGTTCACTGTGAAGCTTCTCCAGAAATATCAGAAGAGGCCACAATTTGAAACACACGGTGTATATTTTATGCAATATTGTACTGCAGAACATCATTCTTTGTAGGACCTTTACCCAACAGGCCACACAAGTAAAACTAACAAAATGATAAATACTTTAGCGTGTTCATTAACATGCTGGATTCCACCCAATATTTAATGATTACTGTTGACTGAGAATACTTTTTATAGTGCGCACTGTAAAGACAGCCATTTTGTGCATACAAGAGGCAGGTAATTCTGGAGCATCTGAACCAACAAGAAAGGTATTGTAATGTCACTGACTCCCATAATTGGAAGGGTTTCTGTTTAAACTGCCACCACCCAGTGAATGGAGGCCAAAAAAATATATTTCTGTTTTGGGTGGGCACCACTGGATTTAACCAGCCGATGGCTTCTTTTATGTCCTCTGGACACCATTAGCTGGCAAAGGTTCCAAAAGGTCCTTAGCTGCCAAAGTTACTATGACGCAAATCATTGTAGTTTCCCTCCTTTCTCTGTAGTATATAGAAATTATCTATCTACTGGCTAGGGCCAGACCCATATCATGCGCGAGGCAGGGAACATGTGCAACAATCTTACCATCAGAGTCCCTCTGCAGCATTTTTCCCAGGAAAGGTAAGAGTTTCATCTCCTCTGATACTCTTTCCTTATTAGCCCTAGCAACACTTTCTATATATTTTTATGTCAACATCTGAGTTTAAGTTTGCTTTGAATTTTGAATAAATCATAGTGACCCCAATGAATACAGATTTCAGGATTGGATATTTTTAAATTGCAAGTATAGATCCTATACATAAATATGGATATTTTAATTTTGGATTTTTTGCCATATCTAATATAAAACATATCAGATAAAATAATGTTAGAGAAATACATTTAACATGGCATTTTGGTTTGAAGCAGGCAAGGACATCTATAGGGAGGAAGGAAGGCTGACAGTAAACAGAACATATGGTGACCAGTTAGTATAGCCATTTGGCTGGCTGTGGCTATACCATACTGAACATATGTAGACATGCATCATAACTCTCTAGCATGCTGGAGTTACCTGAATTAAATGAATATTGGCCTTTATCTGGAAAACAAATATTAATATGAACGGATGTCAGGTGAAGAAAGATATGACATAAAATATGTAGCAGGGAGATAACATGAAATATATCATCAATATGTGGCAGAAATACTTTTAAATTCTGAAAATGTCAACTTAAATTTTGAAAAGTAGGGATTTATCAGATAAGTTAATTAGATATTGAACAATAATTTGGAACATCCCTGCTACATAGAATTCCTGAAATGACAAATAAAACAGTATAGAGCTTGCAATTAAAAAAAACAGACTGAAAAACGTAATGACGCTCTGGCCATGCACTGACCTTGTTATGTAGAAAATGAGCAATAAACATTTGCTTATGCAGTAATTACAAAGCAAAGTCATTGCAGCACCATCTGTTGTTAATGTCAAACAATCATGATCATGTAGACAAAGATTCAACATATTAATACAGTTAGTACTAAGAGTATGAAGATACAGTATACTGGCAGTTCAATGATAAGATACTTGTGAGATGAATCACCAACTGTCTACATATATCACTCCAGCACCCTAGCTGTAGGTCTCCTCACCAAAGTTTCCTGATTCAGTATGAGCGTATCTGACTCTTGCTGCTAGATTCCATTTATTAATCTATTCAACTTTATAGAGTATGCAAAAGCAGGAGCAAGACACCCATACTTTGGCTGAAAGAACGGAGAGGAGCTAGGAACTCATGTATGGAAAACTCCCACAGGAATCTACAGAGAGATCTATATTCTTCAATCAACTAGGATCAGTTTTAGGCAGACGTAGCCTTTCGGTGACTTACACCATGTCACTGGCTTAGTAGAAGCAGTTTGCATGATTGACTAAGGACTGTTACATAATAGGAACATGTCCGTTGGTATTTTTCTTTCATCACTTGATGCCTGTTGGCACCCTCTTTTCATCTAAACATGTGCTGCAGCTCTACAGAGTACAGAAGTAAGAACGTGCAAGGGAGTGAGTTGAGTAAGGCAAACATAATAATGATCCACCCAATTCTTTGTAGAGCTTTTTACAACCAAAAACAATCAATGTGCTTTCAAAGTTGGATTTCTGCATATGCTACATAGGTTGTTGCCTAAGGCAGCATAGTTGCCAACATAGTAGGTTACACAATATGTTGCTGATTGTCAGTATAACATATTTTCATGGAAAATAAAAGATTTCAGACATCCCATGTGCCTGCCAATGCTATCCAGATGCCTCCTCATTGCCACTGTTCCTGTAGCAGCTGTGGATTTTCGCTGGTGAATTAGTGTTGTGTGTACTTATAATTCACCCATCTGGATCAAGTTTAAGAACTTGTACTTATGTAAAAGACGTATACCAAAAAGTGTTGGTGTTAGTACAGTAATCCTGCAGTGCTGGCTTCTTGTGCTTAGTTACCATCAGGTACACTGTCTACATATGTGTTGTATTTTCTCCCTGTGTTTTGTATTGTTTTTTTTCCAGCATCTTCTGATTTTATCCCAAAACATGCAGGTAAGTTAACCAGCACATGACCAAACAGGCCATGTCTGTGCTGTTGTAGAATAAGAATAAAAGCTCCATTGACCAGAGGGCAATGTGATTGGGTCTATTTACTCTAAACAATCCTGTACAATGGGTTAGTACTATAAAATACTATACATGAAATAGTAATAAAACAACCACCGTAAACCACACAAACAAGGAAGTTATGGGGTGCTATAGAAGCATCACATTTTGTCCTTGGACCAAATGTTGTCAATGTTCCTTTTGGCTTATTTTTACCATTCCCTTCTCTGTATGTGAGATAGCTTTTAGAAAGTCACATGGCTGCAAAACAATTACAAATAAAATGTTACAGTAGTCTGTGTATATCTAGAATTATCATGTTCTATTTTTCCACTCTTAATTCAGCTATTTGAAAATATAACGTAGAAAAGCAAAATGTGACGAAGGCTAAATTATAGAATTGCAAACAATGCAAAGATGAAATGAGAAGATTGGTTCCTAGTAGCAACAAGATTCCAGTTTACCAAAGTCAGATCACCAACAGGTTCATTGTGACTGCTTCATAGGGTATTGAGTTTATCACATTGATACCTGCTCCAGTGAAAAGCTTCTATTGACTTAGCACATGTCTGTGGCCTCGTATACAACAATAAAGGATGAGTAATAACCACAATAAGACCTATTTTACATCCCAATGGGCATTGGAAACCCAATGACTGGAATCTGGCTGCCAGGAACACTTTTCTTGTTGCCGCTACGTTTCAGTGGGTCAGGACTCATGCAGAAGAGACTCTGATGTGCATACGTTATTGCACTTTAAAGACTTACTTTGCAATCTTCTGGTCGGGCTTTCCCCATGCATCTGCCTCCGCTGCATAAAGGGTGATGGGTGGGGTAGTGGCAATGAAGACACGTCATGCGTCTGTAGTTTGTACCAATGTGGCTCATCATCTAAAAGTGCAGTTTCTAATTCTATTAGAATCTGTGGGAAAGAAAAACAGTATTAATAAAGAAGCAGACATGTCAGATCAGCCAGCGGTTCCCATTTTTGGCTGTCTAGTTGCCAGCGCCCAATACGAATGTTGTGGTACAACAAGCTTGGACCTCTGCTTCTTTAAAGACTGAACTAGAGAAGCTTGGCCAAAATTGTTTTCATGTACATTCATGTATATCACAGCTCAAAATGAAGCTTTAACTCAAACTCTAGAGCATCACTTTAAATGGGTTTCCAAGGGACAGATAAATATTGCTGTTCTCTTTTAATGCATGTCTACACAGACCAATTGAACATTTTCTAGAACACTTCCTTGTTATCTCAGCAGTAGGTTAGAAAGGATTTAATTAAACATTGCCTCAAAATGTATAATCTTTGAAAATAGAATATACAGTGGCTTCATTTTTTTGACTGACTACTTATAATAACTGAAGGATTTTCTTTATGAAGAATTCCACCAACTGGCATTTTGTGGAAGAGGAGAAGCTGACTGTGGTGTAATCATCGTACCTCTGACCTGTTATCCATGGGTCTAGTGCCCCATGTCAAATACCTTAGTGAAGTTGACCTGCTGTTTTCTTGTCATTGGCAATGGTTTGTAGACTTGGTAACACTTGGTGAGGATAGAGGGAACTAAAGGCTGCCAGGACCTGCAAGTACTTGGTGCAAGATTTTAAATCCATGGATCAGGAACAGGTTTATGAATAGGAATATAACCCACCATCCTCTTCTATATTGACTATAAGACGTTGTTCCGATGGGCAACAGGCTATGCCACCACTCTGGAAAGGAGTTTTTCAGTGCCCTTTGTGTTTAATTGGTAAACACAGAACCATCAGCACTTTCTACAGTGTATTTGTACAAGTAACAACCTTTATTTGAGTTCTCCAGGAAAGAGTTAATCTTTTCCCCCTTTTGGAGAGGGGTTGTGCTGTGAAATATAGTCTTATGCTCTAGTGGTAATGAGATGGGTTGTCAGGAAGATGCATACATATATTCTCTTAGAACGGCATAGGCAACAAATAGTCTATGTCAACAGTGCAGAAAAATACACAAATAAGGATGCAAGCTTTAAACATTTAGCATTTGGATCTTGTGTTTAGACAATTGAGTAGCAAAACACTACAAAGTGCTCATCTGTGGATACATATAAAAAGGACAATTGCCGTATGACATTACCAAGCGATTGGCACAGCACATACAGTATACTGTAGATAAGGAGAAACTATGGCTACCCATCATAAACTATAAAAGGTAACAATTAAAACATTGACACATTCATAAAATTATTTACTTTAGGCTGATCACATTCACGGACACAATAAAGATTCCCTTTTACCAAACTAAATAAATATTCCACCTCCCCATTAACTAGTAAAAGCAGGGCCAGATTCACAACTAGGCAGCAGAGTCAGGCAGCTTTTTCTTGTATAATTATTGGTGCCAGTGGATGTTACTGACTGAGTGTGGTAAAGGTTATGGGTCTACACGATCCAGTGATGAATATCTGACCCTGAGTAGTATTATACTGAGAAGTGTTATGTGTTCTAGTGCTTCCTTAGAGCTCCCTAGTAAAGAGTGGTGATTGCATAACCAAATCACTTGCCTCCTTTCACTTTGAAAGACTCCACTGGAAAGCACTACCAAAGTATTATGGACTCCCTACCCAGTGGAAAGCACTGCCAAAGTATTATGGGCCCCCTACCCTCTCACAAGGCCATAGTGAAGGTGTCACTCTGTTACAGTTACACTCTCTAGTAACATACATCCCAACTTTTTAAGATGGGAAAGAGGGTTCACTTCCAGCACAATGTATTTAGACAATGGACACACTCCTGACATGTACACACTTACATGGACCATTAAGAATTTATATCCCAAAAATGATTGGTTAACCCCAGAATTGTTTTTTTTCATCATTACTTTTCCTTTATACCAGCTTTTCGAAATAGCAGACAAGATACATAAGAGAAAAGATAAAGGCTTTAGTGCAGGAAAACACTTGGTAGTTAAATAGAACCTTTTCATAGATATCTGTACCATTAGACCACAAAGAAGGACAACTGAGGAGGAAAGAGGGACAGTGGGATTTGGTTCCAAATGAGGGTCAGTTAAGAGCTATGCCCAATAATATGTTTATTCTACATTATGTAGAATCCATCAGAGAAGTGTGATTCTTTTGTTTGGCTTTGCAATGACATGAAAAGTTGGCACATCAATGTTTTCATTATTTTTTCACTCGACGTTGTAATTTTTGTGAGATATAAGAAAACAGCAAGTCAACTTGCCAGCAACCTGATAAATCAGTTGTCAATGGAGTTGGCCTTTGAGCCATTTAACTGTCCGGTATGCATGATTCATGATAATTTGGCATGTGTATCTCTGCTTCATTTGGCACAGGCAGTAGGCCCTGTCATATAGGTGATAAAGGCCCACGTCAGGTACATCACTCTATGCTTCCATATAAGTGAGAGTGCGGTGACTGCGTTTTGCACAGCTGACTTTTGCTCTGCTGTCTGTTTCAGTCTGTCAGACGTCAATAAACTGTCTACCATGAGGGAAATCTGTAATTCAAATGTTATTTCATTTATTGTTTGAATGGCAACTAAAAACCCAGCAACTGGGGCTGAAAATGACACCGTGGTTTATAGTCCTGAAAAAGCAATGAAATAGTCATTCATACCATATTTTGCACTCTGATTTTTATTCAGCTTGTGATAGGAAGCAGAGCAGAGCAGATGTGGGGTCATGGCGCAGGTTCATATACTGGCGCACACAGTCAGCCTGTCATATGTCCAGCCACAAAAATACATACATCTGATTGTTCACAGCCAGGGCGAATTTGATTATCTTGTACTATAAGGAAGGAAAAAAAAAATAATGTGGGCCTAGCTGGACCGAATTAACGTGGACCTTAATTAATTATTTTTTCTGATGTTCATGGCATGTAGGCTAAGTAATGTGTAATTGTAAAACTTCCAGGTATGTATCACCTCTTGCAGATTATGATCTTCATCTCATTACTGTTGCTGTACGGTATATTGTGGCATGTCGGGAATTTATTCTTGCAGCCTTCTAAAGTTGCTAAAAGGTCCACTTTAAGAAACTCAACAATTTAGAAATTCAGCAATGCTTTCCTTCCTATCTTTCATTATTGTTCCCATGAACATAGTTGCTTTCGCTTTCAAAGTATGACAAATGTTTTTTTTAATTATTGTGGGACACATGAAACATTACATAGCTCCACATTTGTATCTAAGCACCTGACCCAGTACCTAGAAGCAATGTGGAAATCGAATTCTTCATGAGCACACCTTCTTTATTAAGAAATCATTTTATTTGGAAGTTACTTTGTAGACACAATGTACAGGCTATGTCACTTGTATTGTTTCACCAATCCCTATTCTATATCTCAACTAAATTTGTCTATATCACCTCACATCAAACTAAATGGTTTGCATGTATTAAGAGGCTTGTGTAAAAAAAAACAAGTTGAACTAGTCTGGCTGCTGTTATTGGCTCTCCTTTCTGTTTCAGGTGCCGAATGGCCAACCCCTGTTACCAGCCAGTCATCAGGACCTAGACCTCGGGTTGTCTCCATTGTCATCTGGACTAGTAACCGACGAGCATCCCACCCATCCCTTTACTTTTGTTGCTGGCTTACGCTAATTTGGGAGGTATTGTCACCCACTTTGCATGTGGGCAGGCTGGTTAACAAGTATTTGATGGCTTAAGTCAGGGATGGCCAAACTGCGGCCCTCCAGCTGTGGTGGAACTACGAATCCCATGAGGCTCTGTAAGATTCTCACAGCCACAGACATGACTCCCGGAGAGGCATGCTTCATGGGATTTGTAGTTTCACCACAGCTGGAGGGCCGGAGTTTGGCCATCCCTGGCTTAAGTACTTGGACTGGTCAACTAAGTCCTAAAGGCCATAAGTTTAAAGCATTAAATTGTGGTTCATGTTTAATTTTTGTTATATGTTTTAATTAACCCCAGTAAACAGCTATGGCCATTTTTCCATATATGGTGTCTACGTTTTTTCATTTAATGGATAGCTAGCTTTATTGCTGTCCCAGTAGCTACATGTAATTTCATGGTTTTGGTGCTGCACAAGGTCTTAGGCTGGGCACAGACAGCTCAAATTTCTCAATTTAGCCCATGAGAGACAGAAAAAATCACTTGATTACCCCATCCACACAAAACAACGGGGATAGAGGAATCTACCAATGTATTCACGCAGCCATGGCTGAATAGCAGCTGATGTGCAGGGGATGATGAGAATCCATCTAAAAGATATCTCGAGACAGGGACAGGGGTGGAAAATCAATTAAAAATGAAAACATGCGGTGGCACACGGCGATGAAGAAGTGAAAAGTAAATTGGATTTCAAGCATGCACAGTACCATTCAATGTTTTTGTGTTCCCAAACTTGCTAACACAGTACAGTAGAACCAATTCAGGTTTGTACAAACCTAACTTAATGTTATTCTAATATTATATTGTTTTCACCCACTTGCAATGCAGTGTGATACTGAGAGGGAAAAAAGTTCTCCTCAGCTGAAAGGACAACCAACAACTTTGGGCTTTAAAACTCTGCAATTGTAGCATGAAAACTGCACACATGCTATGTCATTGTACTCAAAAGGCTTTCCTAAATGTATTTTGTATGTAAATAATTGGAGTTATGCTAATTGTAAATAATGGGAGTTCCATAAATATAGCTTGGGGAAATAAATTACTGGAAAATTATTCGTTTTCAAATTGCTCCCTCGTTCTTCCTAATTAAAGCTTAAAAAACAAATGTCTATGAATTTACTTCTGCTACCAGCTATCTATCCCCTCAACAACATCTAATATGCTAGATAAACCTACAGAAAAAAATATTGTTTGTGCAACTGACACATTTTCTATGGCTTTGAGACTGAAGTGGTTAAACACAGTTCAAAACAGTAGTGTCTGTGCCATAAATCAAGAATCCAGCTATATCTTGAAAGAAAAAAAATCATGCCTTAATAGATATTGATTATCGATGAGAAACATGTATTAAATTACATATAGCTTCATATCTAATTGATGACTGACTTGTCCCAAAATAGCATTTGCCGCACTTGCAAGTCCGAAGAGATTATGTATAATTTATATGATAGAAATGTATATAACAGACTGATATCAGGAAGAAAAACAGCATGCACTCCATGGTATCCAACTAGATTTCAGCTATCATCTTGCTACCGTAGTTCAGATATATATACACAACTTATGACTGCTAACACTTGATTGTGTGTCACTGACAGTACCGCTTTCTCTGTACTTCAGTTGGCCCCAGGGCTGTCTATCAAATAGTCAACCCAATGACCAACTAACACGGCAAGCTGACAACACTGCTGCTGATTGAATCTCAGGAATGGATTGGTTTAGGAGTGTGTCTATAGGAATGTTTGACTATTCTTCCAGAATCGTATTTGTGAGGTCAGGTACTGATGTTGGACGAGAAGGCCGGGCTCGCAGTCTCCACTCTAATTCATCTCAAAGATGTTCTATCGGGTTGAGGTCAGGACTCTGTGCAGGCCAGTCAAGTTCCTTCACCCCAAACTCACTCATCCATGTCTTTATGGACCTTGCTTTGTAGACTGGTGCACAGTCAGGTTGGAACAGGAAGGGGCCATCCCCGGCCTGTTCCCACAAAGTTGGGAGCATGAAATTGTCCAAAATGTCTCGTTGAGTAGCGGCACGCTTTACACCACGGCATCCGACGCTTTGCATTTCACTTGGTGATGTAAGGCTTGATTGCAGCTGCTCGGCCATGGAAACCCATTCCATGAAGCTCTCTACGCAATGTTGTTGTGCCAATCTGAAGGCCACAGGAAGTTTGGAGGTCTGTAGCTATTGACTCTGCAGACAGTTGGTGACTTCTGCGCACTGTGCGCTTCAGCATGCGCTGACCCCGCTCTGTCATTTTACGTAGCCTGCCACTTCGTGGCTGAGTTGCTGTTGTTCCCAGTTGCTTCCATTTTATTATAATACCAGTTACAGGTGACCGTGGAATATTTAGTAGCAAGGAATTTCACTGAACACCTGAATCCAATGATTTGGAGGGTGTCCCAATACTTTTGGTAATATAGTGTATATATACACACACACACTCAATATATATATAGATACATATATCTATATATATAAAATGTGTGTATTTTGCAGTTTGCCTGGAGTTCAACAAGTCTGTATCTGTACTTAAAGCTTAAATCGAATGCATGGGGTGTTTGTTCTGCAGAGATTTGGCAATCAGGGCTCTGGGAATTTGGATGTAACACTGGTAGCAATTCAAAGCTAAAAATAAACATTTCCAAGTGTGTTTATTATAAGTTAAGAATGATTTCCATTGTCATGTGTTGTTTTAAGCTTCCATTTACACCTACATATCAACAGGTGACATGGAAGGACTTACTTAACTTATTGGTAACCTGACTGGGAAATGAAAGCCATTCTATTATTTTGAGACAGGAGGACTTTAAAAAAAAAGAGCGATTATCACCACGGCGACATTTGCTCTGAGAATCTAAAAGTTTAGCACAATCTAATTATAGGAGCTTGACATTTAGGCCTGTGCACTAAAATTATAATGAACAATGTGTTAAGACTCGGAAGCGGAGTGCTACATTAATGAAAAGCAACTGATACAACAATATTTCTGCATAAAAGATCGTTTCTTATAAAATGTAATTTGTACATTTATTATGTAATTTCGGGTACTTTTTGTCAGTTTTTAGCACATTGGGAAAATACTTTTCCTCTGACACCAGTAGGTAGTAAATCACTGCCTCCTTCCCGCTATTCTCAATTTTAAAGTAGGTAGGCAATGGAGAAAAAAGTTGATGCGGACCTTGCATCAAAATAAAGGAACTGCTATTAAAGTGACACAAACTCAGAAGTTAAACCTGAAAAATGCATTCACGTACCCTAACCATCAACAAAAATGTATTTTATTTGTGTATCACTCGGCTGTAGATACTCAAATCATCTCTGAATTGGTGCTGACACTGTCCTTCACTCTGGAGGGTGGCTACTTTTGTTCCCCATGGTCCCTGTGTGTGTTGTAAAGTAGCCACCGATCCAAGATCACTCCTGTGATGGACTACAACCTCAATTTTAATTTGTACTGAAATTCACTCTATCACAGGAGTGAGCTCGGATCGGTGACTACTTTGCATCACACACAGGGACCATGGGGAACAAAAGTTGCCACCCTCCAGAAGGAAGGACAGTGTCAGCACCAATTCAGAGATGATTTGAGGGTCTACAGCTGAGTGATACACAAATCAGATACATTTTTGTTATTAGTTAAGGTACTTGAATGCATTTTTCAGATTTATCTCCAGAGTTTAGTGTCACTTAAGTAACACGGACAAGAGGAAAATAACTGGACGCCCTCTGCTGTGGTGGCTGATAGAACTTGCAGTTTTTCCATTGACAGATCCTGTCCAAGGATGAGGTGGCTGTGTGGGCAAAGCCAAAAACAGCTGCACCAAAATAAATATACAGCAACAGCTTGTGGGGAGAAGAACCCAGTGATTCTGGTAAGTGGGCGGGCAGTAGGGGGTACCTATGTGACCATGTTTCATGTTATACCCTAAATATTGGTGTAACATAAAACATGGTCCCAAAGGTAAACTTAGGCTTTAACCATTTTACTCATCTTACTCTCAAATGCCATTAGTGTATGGTTAGAATAAGACGTAGGCTAGCTCCCTACAATCTACTGCACTAAACATTCACCTTGTCCTTTACAATTAATATCTTCAAAAACATATTTTTCACCTTTACCAGGGATAATTTTTTCTCCGGAGACTTAGGGATACAATGCCCTTCTTTGAGTCCCAGTACTCATGTCACCAGAACACACATCTATATAATTGTGTACAAATATAGAAATGATTGAAAGGTGTTTGGCCACAGTAACAAAGCGCACGTCTGTGTTCACAACACGCTCTGATGAGCCCTTCCGTATTCAGCTTGTTCAACAAAAGGGAAACACTTTTGCCAGTATAGATGTAAGTGAAAAGTGTTTGGCTAAGGATATGAGTGTATATTACAAAAACATTTTCAACTGGCATCATCACCACTATCACCATCATGGACCGGGCAGCAAGGATGTCAATGATAAAAAAGTAGCCAAAAATGGATTTTTTTGAACGCTCTAGAACACCAGCAGAGAATCAGGAACTTCAAAAAGTAGCAACATCAAACAACCATGCAAAGAGGCCAATGCCAAGAAAGAATAGGGCAACAAAAGAATACCTTTATAGATTTTTGTTATTACATTTTCATTGAAGACCACTGCAAGAAATGATTTTTCACTGCAGTCTAAAAAGATATATATGTGAAATAAGGAAACATTGAAGTCCTCAGCAGCTGAGTTCCCTTATGCATTTCAGTGCTTCATTTTTAATTTAAAAAAAGCATACTTTTAACCAGGTCAGATTGAATGAATACATTTCAAGAAATGGTACAAGTAGTATATAATATAGACAAAAATCCTATTTCTTCAGCAGAACAGAATAAGAGTTAACTCACCTCTCCTAAGAATTCACTTTCTTCCTCTCGAACTCTGGCTTGATCCCAAAGTGTAATCTCCAGCATTCGTTCTCTAAACTCCCTTCGAGGAACCGGAGAGTAGATGAATGTTTGATTCCATTTGGGTTCTAATGTTTTCTTCACAGTCTTTGTTCTTCTTTTGTTCTTATCACTGTAATAAAAGTCAAACAATCAGTGTGGACAACTGTTTGCTCATTTTTACTTATACCCAGTAGAAATACTGATCAAAAAGAAGAAAAGAATACTGATGCAAGTTATAGGTTCTCTTTCATCAGTACACAAGGGTTAAAATTGTAAGAACGTTTAGCGGAGAGTTTCATTCTTGTAACTCCAATCACTCCCATCTAACCCATGTTGGAGAATACAGAGAAAAAAAGAGATGAGGACCCAATACCTCTGGGAAATGTAAGCACATAACCCTCCACTCCAAAAATGGAAGTTGCACAAAAAACCTTTATTTCGGACAGAGTTGTTTGCATACGGACAACATAGCAAATACAGTTGGGCTAGAGGAGGACTTTGTGAGAGTACTACGAGAAGGCTTGACTATGCCAGGACCATGGTAAGCAGTGACCTGAGTAAGGCAGAGGGCAGTTAGCGAAACGCCTGGAGAAAAAAAACACACAAACACTGGAGAAAAGACAAATCTTCTACATACAGTGCTCTAGCTAGAAAAAGAACCTGGCCAAGACACCAATGACAAACAATATGACTCCGTCCTGAAGGGGAACAAATCTTTAGAACAAGGCTGCAAGGAGTTAAATTAGAAAAATACACCTCGTAATTGCTTTAACTAAATCCCTTTTGTGCACCCAAAATACTAATCACTATTCATTACACACCGCTTATTAAAAACCTATCAACATATTTTATTTATTATCAGACAGAAACTTTCATGCATTTTGCAGGCACTGTCTTAGAATCCTCGAGATTGGTTATCTGCAATTAAAATACTTTAATGACCTTCATTAAGTGATATGAAACCTAATTAAAAGTAAACTGGTATTTCAGACTGCCCCTTTCATTAGTGACATGCTAATTCAACATTATCTCTGTGTGACGACACCCATAAACACAATTTGCTGACCCATTGTCACTGGCAGCTGTTTGATAACAGAGTGAAGTGAAAGGGACAATAAGTTATTTTTGACAGCAAATAATTTTCTTGTTTCAGACATCAAATGCCCAGCATTTCAGATTTCATAAGGATAGTTTCTCTGCTCCGGTGGCCCTTAGCCATCACAGTAGGCAGTTTAGCAAAACTGGCAGCAAATGAAGAAAAATGTAGCTGCACATACATCTCGGTCTGCTGAAATGTTTGTTGGGTGACAAATTCAGCCTTGCATCCAGCACCATCCCTATATACAGTGGGGCAAAAAAGTATTCAGTCAGCCACCAATTGTGCAAGTTCTCCCACTTAAAAAGATGAGAGAGGCCTGTAATTGGCATCATAGGTAGACCTCAACTATGAGAGACAAAATGAGAAAACAAATCCAGACAAATCACATTGGCTGATTTGGAATGAATTTATTTGCAAATTCTGGTGGAAAATAAGTATTTGGTCACCTACAAACAAGCAAGAGTTCTGGCTCTCACAGACCTGTACCTTCTTCTTTAAGAGGCTCTTCTGTCCTGCACTCATTACCTGTATCAATGGCACCTGTTTGAACTTGTTATCAGTATAAAAGACACCTGTCCACAACCTCAAACAGTCACACTCCAAACTCCACTATGGTAAGACCAAAGAGCTGTCGAAGGACACCAAAAACAATTACTAGACTATATACAGGGGGCCACTTATATAGACATTGGTCTTACTTTAGCCGAAAGGTGCCTATAGACATAAAAATATTGCTACTCAATCGGCTGACTACGATTAGAAAATTAACAGGTGTATATGCACTCTTCTAAAGACATCCCCTGACCAACTAAAAAAGCAATCTGTTTGATTTTGATTTGGTTTGATTTTCCTGACAAGCAGCTATCATTTCATCCAAGCCAGCAGCAAGGATGTTCTTCTATTTCCAAATCATTACTCCAACACATAAACATTTACAAGCGTGTTTAAGAGGCCCTTTTACCTTGCCCATTCAGGCAACAGTGTCAAGCTCACTCAGTTATACTCACCTTTACAACGCATCCTCTGCTACTCCTTCTTCCATCCCAGCTTCCACAAATTACCTGATGTTTATGGTTATGGGGGAGCATATGACCTCCTCCCTTGATGCAGTGCTAGGCCTGAAACTGTCACTGTCATCACTCCCTGCAAGCTCCAACGCTGGCTAACACGTGGTATTTTGTGGCAGCTGCAATGGTAGAAGGATCGTGGGGGAGAGATGTAAAGGTGAGTATAAGTGTGCCAGAAGTAGACATTATAGAAACCCTGAAAGACCTGAATGGTCAAGGTGACAGCAGAGCCAGAACAAGGTCCTCTGGCTCCTACGGCAAAGATGTCCTCTGGAGCCAAGATGGCGCATGCATTAACATTGTGATCACAGAGAGGAGTACCCACCCCTCCTACATGCAGTAACAGCCCCATACCATTAAAAAGTGCTAGCCTGCTTTGCAGCCCCCTTTTCTAAAGACACCAGCCTTCTTTAGTGGCTGGACATACTGTGACAGCAGGTGAGAAGACTCAAACACTTCACAGCCTCCACCCTTCAGCTGTCTGCTACAAAGTGCTGGCAATGCAGAAAGTGTAAAAAATTACAGTTGTCCCCTAGATTCTGAGTCTCTAGACAGGTTTCATCTAGCATACATTCAGATAAATGACAGCCTAAATTAATTAAACAGCAGAGGTCCCACAGTTTTAAGTGTACTCCGTCATTGTAATGTTGACATGACAGTATTAGAACTTTCTGATTTGCTGCTGTTCCAAGGTATCTAGTTAGCTACATGTTACAATGACAGAGTACACTTATTGAACTGCGGGTTGCTGCTGTTTGATTCATTTCGGGTGTCATTTATCTGAATGTATACTAGATGAAGCATGGCTACAGTGGGGTTATTGAAGACTTCTTTGCATTCCCCTCTATGCTACAGCTTGCAGTGCCCTAGGCATCTGCCTTCTCTGTATCAGGGTCACCCTGCCCTAGATGACAGGGTCACCGTAAATGCAGATCTTCTTGGTAAAAAAAAAACTTTCAGTGGTTAGATGGTTATGTATGTCTGGCTGTGAAATCTAAATAGCTAGCAATATTGTAATTTTTGCAGATGACACCTAATTATGTAGCATTAATAAAATCAGCAGCAAACTAACACTATGGGTGAATCCTGAAAAAAAATTGCAACATGGGCGGTTAAATGACAAACCTAAATACATTTTTAAAAATGTTATGCTACCTAAACCTTGGCAAACGCATTATCCCCGATAAATTAAACTAATTAGAGTTTGGCAAAACAGAGATAGAGAAGAATTTGGGAACACTAGTTAACAATAAGCTAAATAACACCCATCATCAGCAGCAGCACAGGCAAACAAAACCTTGGGATGTACAAAAAATGGAGATAATTGAAATGTGAAGCTGTGATCATATGGCCCAGTATGCTAAAACCTGGTCCGGATGGGCACTATTTAAAACTACTAACACATACAAAGTTATCATGGATCCTAGTAATAAAGAGACCCTTCACCAGGGACCTGGTGAGCGTTTTACCTTGACTGACATCAGCCTATTCTCAACCCTATTAACCATGTAGCTGTGTATGTGACATACCTTCGATCGGGAAGAAAATAAATTTTAACATAAGGATTTCTCGGTCTTCCATCTTCCCTCGATGGTAGGTCCTTCGCTCCTAATATAGTGACTATTAATTGATGACCACCTTTGTCATACCAGAGTTTTATCTGCAGAGTAGAAAGAATACACAGTTTGTCAGTAGCCGTGTCAATGTTTCTTTAAATATAGTTGACATTACACAGAAAGGTTGTAACTGAAGATTGCACTACAAACATTTTGCTCTTTGAAAGCAAACCAAACACTGATTAAAGACTAGATGACCTACAGGCTTACTTATACAGGTAGAACCAAGATAAATGTTGATTGGAAAAGTCTAATATCCCCCAACATCCAGGTCTCACCAATGATCTTAATTTTCCATAATAACCATAGATGATTGTTTATTAATTACTATAGGTTACTGAACTTGTTTCCCACTGCCATTTGCCTTAACAAATAAGCTTGATAACACTGCTCCTTAATGTTCGGAACCTACATTTTGTGTACGTATAATATACATAACATGGCACTTACTCAATAAACCATAGATATATATCACACAGTGATTACTCTATTGGCCAGCTACCAGCTTGCAAATTGGAAAATGTAGGAATAGCAGAACACTGATGCAATATCATCTCCCTGCGTTAGAATGTCAGACTATGCAATGTATTAGAGCCCGATTGGCCCACAGTGCTGCACCTCCCTCTTGCAACCAAAGCCCTGATGTGCAGAGAAATATGAGAACCGAATATATAAAGATAGATTTGGGGTTGTTAGGCCCGTGGAAGTAAATACTTCTTTGCTATATCCTCGGTTGCATCTAGTGCCCATAATATGGTATTTTCCTGATAGTATATTTGATTTAGAAATAAAATGTAATAAGTATGTTTGCTTTGCCCCACTTAAACAGAACACACGTTCACAGAGTCTTGGTGGCGCAATGGCTTTTCAAATTGATGATATATACAGGTGAAACTCGAATAATTAGAATATCGTGCAAAAGTAATGGCAGTAATTGCTGCAAAAGGGGCACAAAACAAGTACTGAGTACATAAAATATTTTAGGGCAATACATAAACTTTAATATATAAGAATAACATTAAGCACAAGAGTGGCCCAAACTGTTTAAGCCATTTAATAGTGAGAATTGACATGTAACATTATATAAAGGTGTGTGGCCTATAATCAATGGCTGCAGTTGCTATTGTGTTTCTGATTAAGTGGAGGTGGTTTTATTAGCATTTATAATGGGTTTTTTGGGGGGGGCCGTGAATAACCTTGGCTAGAAGTTTATTAAACGTAATGCACATTACTGCCTTGAAGTCTGCTGAATAAGGCTTTTTTTTTTTATAAAGGGCCATGTCGCACTAACCATCCTGGACAGAAAACACTATATAGGGGTAAACAGGGTAGGGAAAATGCTCAGCTACTTCTATGTGTCACTTTTCCTGGCCAACTGGATGAGCAAGAAGTCACTCCCTCCCTGACCACTTACATGCTGCAGCATTTTCGTCAGTGATGCTTTGCTCATCTAGCTGTTGAGGGTGTGACACATGAAAGAAGATGTGGTGTGTTTGTTCTCGGTAGCAAGAGCTCAGTGTAGTAGTTCTCATCCAGGGACATTCGGCACAGAGACAAGTGATGAAGACTGGAAGAAATGTTGCCTGCTCTGACAAATTTCAATTTCTACTGTGATATGCAGATGGTAGTGTCAGAGTCCGAAATGCACAGCATGGATCTTTTAGGATGAGGTGGTGCAGGCGGGTGGTTTTTAGCATAAACATGTTGCTGACAAATTTCCAGAAACTACATGATGATATTAAGGGCCCGTTCATACCAAATCCAGATCATCTTGAGACCAGACCAGATTTTTCCGGACCCAAAATGCATCCTAATGTATCCCTATGCTATTTCTGATCTTTATTCACACCAGTGCAGTCCGCTCCAGACCAGACCAGAAGAATACCGCATGTCTTATTTTGTCTGGTGTGGAATGCACTGGAACACATGAAAATGCATAAAAACGCACTGGAATGCACTGGTCCGCACCTGAAAGCCGATTTTACTCTATAAAAAAAAACCCGCTTGAAAATGGTAAAATCGCGGTAAAATCTGGTCCAGATCTGGTACGGAAAATGGTGTGAACCTGTCCTCAGTCAGCAACATCCCTTGGAACACTCAAACTTGTGCTTTACCCAAGCAAACAATGTTGCTTAAATGCTTCCCAAGCCCCTTCAGCACATATTGAACCTTCCTTCACCTGCCACCTATCTCCTCTGCCCCTGGGATTGAGAAAAGAAGCCCTGTGTAAGCTCTAAACTGCTTTAGTTAAAGGAGAACTATGGGGTTAGGGCTTTTCCCCATAGTTCTCCTTAGGGTAATGGGAGGACACAAACTAGCGTCCTTCCGTCACCCTAAGCTCGCGGTATACTGAGACGCCACAGCTGAAGCGGATCCCGACAATTATGTCTGGATCCGCTCAGCTGCGTGAGTGACAGCTGGCTCTGCCTATGTAGAGGGCAGAGCCAGCTGTACCCGCCCCCTCCCCCGTCCGTTCCGCCAATCAGCGCTGGAGGATTGGAGCGGGGAGGGGGGAATCCGGCCACTCCTCTGTCACGGCAGAGAGCTGTGACAGGATAGAGAAGTGAGCGAACGCCGGTATGTGTGAAGTGAAAAGCTCTCACCTCATAGTTCTCCTTTAAATGGTCCCATTAGACAGTGCTGTGCCAATAATCAAGCACCAATGCTGCCCATACACAGGAGTAATGGGTAATTTCATTGCTACTGTCATCTGAACGGAGAAGTGGGGATTAAAGAAAAGATCCATATGTGCTCCTGGGCAGAGGGTATTAAAGAGAACTTGTTGTTTTACCCTACTTGAGCAAAGCACAGGTTTGCTTTAGCGTCAGCCATGCACAGCAGTAAGACAGACTAATGTCTGACTGAGAAAGACAAGACCTGTAAAGACACGTGCCAGTTCTAAAAACCTCCGGGACCCTCTGCAATCTCCTGTGTGACTGTGTAGAATTTTACCCTTTTCCCTGTTTTCGTCACTATAATGGAAGATTTGATGTGCCCACTCATACAGATATTTTTTTTTAACAAGCTAGAAAAGCTAATTGTGCAATGTTGAACATTTCTAACAATCAGAGATTGCTCCTAATGCATATGCTACTTTAGCAGGCAATGCCACAGTTAAAGAGACCCTGTCACTAACTATAACATTGCAGGTATAAGTACAGAAAAACATACTTTATCTTGAATGCACATATAATCTTGTGTGAAGTTTTTTGTTGAAGAGAATGCTCTGGCAACAGGGTACAGAGTACAGGGTACTCTTTAAGTACACATTGCTTGTCAACCCAAAAGTGTGCTATGACTTGGTCAAATCTCCCAGTGAGTATTTTATCCAAGACTTCAATGACACCTTAAAGTGAATGTGTGGCCAAGGTACTGAGAATAAATTATTCACATAGTCCTAACAAACAGCAAATAAGCTTTAAAACAAGCCCAAACTGACCTATGTAATTGCAAGTACTACGGAGTAAATCATTATCAAATATCACAACAGAGACTCTGAAGTCAGGTTGCAATTGGTTTCTGAACAGTTTAAAGTATCTTCTATTTTTTTAGAAGGCTGACAAGCTGCTAAATACCTGCTGCCAGAAGAAGCAAGGGAAGATAAGCTGTGATTTCAGTGTCTCTATTTTGAGGAACATTGTCTCCACAGTGCTGGCATCCACAGAGGTTAGTGAGGGCCAGTTTCAAAGCTTATTTTATTATTTTTAAGAGTTTTTAGGTAAATTAATTATTGAATGCCCATAACCCAGACACACTTCACTTCCTCTACTGGTTTTTCTTAGGCAAGCAGATTCTCTCACCTTCTACTATATTGTTAATAATGTAAAATAAACAGAAAATTAAAGTCACCCAGCCACTATATAGAATATTCTCAACAATGGCATATCTGTAAAAGAAGACACAAAGCACTTATCTTTCCCAATGCTCACACCACAGAACCCCACACCGATGATGCTGAGAATCGCCCCTGAAAAGTCACTTTTGATCTCCATGGTAGCGCACAACTCTCATAGTTCCTCCCTCTGACTTTACAACAACGCTCTCTAATGCAGTGATGTGAGATCAGAGTGAGGATCCAGTGATATCTGCAGGGGTCAACACTCCCAGAAGAGTTGGTTTTTTAGCAGACTTCATTGGACTAGTTTTCAGCATCAGAGAGGAGTCATATGGTGTAGGCAGCAGGAGAGGTGAATTTTGTAGAATTGTTTTAACCTGGATCTGAATAGTAGGTGCCACACCCCTGGGAATTTGAGTAACAAAAAGCAGAAACTGGGGTTTTGAAAGCACCCTAGAAAAGATAACTCCAAGAAACAATGTACCATAAAAAATAGATTTTAATAGTGATAATTTAAGAAGCTGGGTAAAAAACTAATTAATAAAAACAATCAACTGAATAGATAGCTCCCTATAAGCTCACTCCATGAAGAAACCTTCCATAAATGGTTTACATGATTCTTAGCGCATATATGGTATCAATACATGTGATCTGGTTTAGATAATTGGAATAATATACCGTATATACTCGAGTATAAGCCGTCCCGAATATAAGCCGAGGTACCTAATTTTACCACAAAAAACTTTACATCATAGTAGCAGTCACATTACATGATAGTGGAATAGTACTAAGCAGTATTGGAAGGGTTGAGGATGCAGGAGCTAGTTCAACGTTTCGCGCACACATGCCCTTCTTCAGGAAGAGGGAATATATAAAAGAGATAGTCAGGTCATTCGATTTGCCATCCGACAAGTTAGAAGAGGATGAAGAACGGAAAGAAGGGATATCGTCCCATCTGTCTTGAGGAAGTCTGTCCTCCAAATGCCTCCAGGCCACCCACAACCAGCGGCCGGGACGTGTTGGATGGCAAATCGAATGACCATTTATGGAAGGTTTCTTCATGGAGTGAGCTTATAGGGAGCTATCTATTCAGTTGATTGTTTTTATTAATTAGTTTTTTACCCAGCTTCTTAAATTATCACTATTAAAATCTATTTTTTATGGTACATTGTTTCTTGGAGTTGTCTTTCGGTGCTTTCAAAACCCCACTTTCTGCTTTTTATTAGCAGGAGAGGTGAGTATTTGTCTTACAGGTATGCTTTTGCTGAGTATTTTCTGTATAGCAGCAGGGCCGCTTTAAAAAAAAGTAGACTGTGAGACCAAATTGCACTGGCTGTGGAAGGTAAGTGCGGCTGGGAACTTACTACTGTAACCCTTCAAACAATATTTTTTAAGAGTGGCCAACAATGCAATTACATTTTTCTTAACTGTTTCAATGCATTACCAAATATACTTCAGTTTTAGTAAATGTATGGCATATCTGAATCAAAATATGTCCCGCAAACAAGATAGAATTGTGCAAATTACAGCTCATAGGGTACTAAAAAAATTAAAATGTTGCTATAGGGCATGCTGGGAACAGATGTCACAGGGGAAAAAGCTTTGGGGGGAAAAAAAATCCAAGCCACAGAAAACAATTGTATCTTTCATAAAGGAAAAGTGACAACAATGGCAGCTGAAATCCCATTGGTAGTTGCCACAAATAGCAAATACACTTTCCTTTATTGCAGTTTTTATACAAGGCTACTTTAAACAGTGTACGCTTCAAATTAAATGAACAAATAAAATTGGAGGGAGGAAAACAAATGTGCAGACTTCAGTGCATTTTCCACACTAAGACAGAAAGAAAAAAAAAAAAGAAGAAATAAACAGACAGCTTTATGTTTCAGGCAGAAAAGGCCTTTACCTGGACCCTAGGAACAAAAGGCGGAGTTCTTCTATTAAGGCTTTGGCTCTGGTAAGCAAAATAAAAATAAAAAACAAAAACAAAACAAAAACAAAAGAAAAAAAGACAACAAGCTAAAATTAAAACAAATTCAAAATAAAACACAAGTATTCAAATCAACATTAACAGCAACAAAGTTCACATCAAAAACACAAATTTGTAGCAAACATAGTGATGAAACAAACTGCTGACTGACTGCCATTCACTGACGACTTAACATTTCAGCGTTCATAAATAACAAATTATCAGTTTGAACGTTTTTCATTTTTGTAAAATCTTAGATCATTGATATACATTCCTAAAAAACAGAGTTCATATCATTGCATCACTTATAAATGATAGCCCAACCATACTGGTGGAGGAAATGAGGTGATGATGAAGATAGGCACTATCCTTCTTTTTGTTCCACTTTTTTACATAAATAAGGTTAAGCCCTGCGTTCCTTTCCAGTTAATCCAGCACATACATACTATCTAAACCTGACCCAACTGTCACAGTCCTAGTTTTGTTTGCTTTAGTTTGACTGCTCTATAAAAGTTACAATCCTAAAATGTTTGAACTATTTCAAGTTTTGAACTATTTCAAGGGACGTTTTGTGTTGTTAAAGTGGGGAAAGACTAGTATCTCTGTTAAAGGTTTTATTTATGACTATAATAGGGCCAAAGGGAGATGCATCTTTGTCCTGGTGTAAGGAACTTACGCTGCATCGAAGCAGTATACCACGGCGGGGCCGGCCCCGTCACCAGCGTCCCGTTGCCAAGCGACGGGCGGCTTCCACTCAGCGTTCCTCTCCTCCTTCCGTTCGTCAGCTGAGTCGGCGTGATGACGTGGCAGGCCCGGCGGCGTCCCGTTACCAGGAGACGCTCAGGTTGGGTCTCGTCTCCGGCTCCTCCCCCAGCCACCGCTCACTGCCTACAAAACGGTAGGCTCACCACTTGCTCGGCGTTCTATCAAAGTAGTACGTCGAGCAAGTTCTCTAGGGACACATGCTACCGAGAACCAGTCTGAGACTCCTGAACCTGGCACCTTCTGCTCCTGAGACCTGGACTTTCTAGCTTGCATACCTGGCAGTGTGTCATCTGATCCTCCAACCAAAACCGCAAGTAACCATTAGTGCTCTGGGGAAGATAATACCAGGGACGAAGCTAACATACATATTACTCTCTAAAAACATTGTGTTACTGATTTCACTGCTGCATAGGACTGTTGTTCCCAATTGGTGTTTATGGAAGAGTTCAGGAGTGGGGATTATAAGTGATCTTGTTCCAACTGCGTATTCTCTTCATACTGAGACTGTGATCACCATACACTCCTACTCTAGAGCTAACCCCACCTTCATCATTAGTGAACTGAACTAGTGAGTGAGAAACTACAAAACGTATCACACCCCAATGCTAAGTAATTGGAGTTGATAAACTGCATAATAGATAACTGCCTACTTAGTGAGTTGATGGTGTATGATGTGACAGGGGTTCCGACTGCACTCACTACACTAAAGTGTGACTGTGAACCCTCTTCCTGAACCATCCCCATCTAAGCTCCGCAGCTGCGATCCAGATACCAAGCCGCGCTTGCACGGATCGTTACACCTGGTGATCTCCACCAGGCAACAGACTGCAATGAGAACCTGATAGAGGCTAACTCATTTACAAAAAATAAGTTAGCAGGTAGTCCAACACACAGCTCCTTTATTAAAGATAATTCACATACAACTCATAAACACAGATCTGTCTACATGAACTGTATATTAATATGTCTTTTATATACACTGATCAGCCATACCATTATGACCACTGAGAGGTGAAGTGAGTAATCTTCACCAGCAATGTTCTGCTGGGAAACCTTGGGTTCTGCCATTCATCTGGATGTTACTTTGACACGTATTTCCACATATCCCACCTAAACATTGTTTCTGACCAAGTACACCCCTTCATGGAAATGGTATTACCTGATGGCAGTGGCCTCTTGCAGCATGATAAAGCACCCTGCAAAAATGATACAAGAATGGCTGGAGGAACACCGAGTTTGAAATGTTAACTTGGCCTCCAAATTCTCCATATCTCAATCCGATTGAGCATCAATGGATGTGATGAAGAAACAAGTCCAATCCATGGGGGCCTTGGCCTACTTTGCAACTTACAGAACTTCAAGGATCTGCTACTAATGGCATGGTGCAAGATACTTCAGCATACCTCGAGAGGTCTAGTGGAGTCCATGCATCGATGGGTCAGGGCTGTTTTGGCGAAAAAAAGGAGGACCTACTCAATATTAGGTTGGAGGTCATAATGTCATGGCTGATCAGTGTACTGTATATTGTGAGAACCGGCTGAGCAGGTATACTTTATATTCATCCACCCCTTCAACAGTCCATCCAAAATGGAAAAAAATATGGTGGCTTGAGTTTAAAGGAGTAGGTCATTGGTTATTATTTGGGTGCAGTAACTTAGTTGTCAGATGTGATTAATTGATTTTTGAGTGTGATAAAATACCTAAAATGCTTATGCCTATTTTATTTTGCCAACAGCAATGTACTGATGACTGTGTCCGAATAAGGCATATCTCTTCCTATTTATAAATAGCAGAAAATTCAAGAACTTGCATGCACGTCAAACTCCTACACATTTATGTCTCATTGTCCTCCTGAGGGATGCTGTGCAGGAATATGGAGTATGCATTGTCACAGGGGGAGGCCAGAAAGTGGAACTCATAACCAGGCCACACTGTCACAGTTGAAGATCTCCCTGCTGTGAACAGGAATTAAGACCTGCCATTGGATTGCATCATGTTTACACAAACAAAGGTTGAAATAAGTCTCTCTTCAGTTTTTTAAAGCTTGGCAAAATTTGCCACCTGACATACTGAACCAGGTAAAGCTAAATTAAAATGTATGTGCATAAAAATAAGATGCCCATTAAAAAACTAATTTTGTTTTGGGTACACAGTGATGGAGATATCCTTCTGTGAAATTATGATTACCTTAACACTGTTGCACCCAAAGATTTAGTTGCAGCACAGTGAAATCATCTGATCCTCTCTCCCTCTCCCTGGACACTGATTGTTTAATTTATTCTAGTGTCAGAGATCAAAGCTAAGAAATAAACTGTCTTGTGTAAAGGTAGGTAGGTAGGTAGGTACTGACCTATATTTTAAAGTCAGAGAATCAAGCTAAGAAATAAACTGTTCTGTGCAACGGTAGGCAGCCACTTACCTAAGCAAACCTGATAAAAGCTGGCAGATATCTCCACTTTCTCAGGAGCATAAACTGATTCTGACTAGCTGGCACATAACACAAAGCCAAATGCCAGCACAGAACATGCTTAGGACAGGAAGTTATGTGAGGGCAGCACTAAAGAATAACAATGACAATTTGATTTATGTAACCCCTTCTGTACATTTGTAATTAGCTCCATGTGACCTTTAATGTACGGAAAGTCTGGGAACTGTGTTTCCTACATATAGGAGTGGCTTGAAAAATTCTAGTAATTTTTTTAAAGGCTTACTTAAACACAACTTTTGATGCTGCTTTATGTAAAATTATTTTTGATAACATTCACAGATTATATTATAACCATTTGATCAAAAAAATAGATATTTTAAGTGAAGGTGGTTAACAATGAGCAATTTCCAATACACCTCCTATCCAGGAAGCCCAAATGATACTTCCTTTAGCCTAACTTGACAGCTTACATAAAAAAATAAAATGCACAGATGAAACTGACCTGTCATAAATCTAGGCAGTTTGCAACAAACCCTGTGAGTGGCATATGCATAAGCAAAGGATGCCTTAACTGAAAACTGCATGTCAAAATGATGCGTGGATCCAGTAATACAAGAAGTTGAAAATACATAAATCTCCTTTGTTTGCTATAAAAGTTGATTTGGATCTTTCTCACACTAACTCTCAAATCTCCCTATTGGTCTAAAATGCTGCCAGTCAAAATAAAAAGTCCAATAAGGTGGACCAAGGGCCAAGTTTGACCTCTACAATAAAAGTTAAAGTGACACTAAACTCAGGAGCTAAATCCTAAAAATGCATTCAAGCACCTTAACTATTATCAATTCTGTACCTTATTTGTGTATTACTCGGCTGTAGATCCTCAAATCATCTCTGAATTGGTGCTGACACTGTCCTTCCTTCTGGAGGGTGGCTACCATGGGAACAAAAGTAGCCACCCTCCAGAAGGAAGGACAGTGTCAGCACCAATTCAGAGATGATTTGAGGATCTACAGCCGAGTAATACACAAATAAGGTACAGAATTGATAATAGTTAAGGTGCTTGAATGCATTTTTAAGATTTAACTCCTGACCCTAGTGTCTTAGTAGCTTTTTTACTCTGTTCTCTCTCTCTGGAACTTCTGAATATTTTGACGTGCTTTTGACTGAATTTAACCTCAACTTTCACAATATTTTATAGAATAGCTCAAGACTGTGACATGTTTACTTGAAGTTACATAAATGTCATATATCTAAGTTTCTGAATGCGCGTGGAAATATTTAGTGTGATAGTTATTGTGGCACTTTTATATTATTTAACTTGTGTTAAACGTATCTGTAAAAAAAATTAAAAAAATAAACGCAACTGGACTTGATGAACTAGCTTTCTCAATTCAGAATGACAAAAACAATCATATCGCAATGCATTTTGGGGAGAAAGCCATTAAAATTGTACGAGATTATTAAAAAAATCTAAAAAAACTGGCAGACTATAGAAACCACCTGCGCTTTCACCTCTGATGGCAGGTAGTCAGATGGTGAGAAAAATAAAGCAAGTCCAGTTGCCTTCAACATTTTTTTACAGATATACCATGACCTGGATGAACGAGAACCTTCACAGATATTTTGTTAAACTTGTTCTCCTTCCTGCGGTAGATTGCACACTTTCTGTGTCTGATGTGGTGCTGCACCATCCACAACACAGCTAAGACAAGAGGACGGGGGTTAGAGAGAAGGAGCAATACTTAGTGATAACATTTTAAGCAGCTTTTAGAAGATATCTCTTGTTTTTTTA